CTGAATCTGTTTTATGCTATCTGGACTCCAGGGGGCAAAGATTCCTAAAGAAAACCAAAAAGATCCCCACGCTTCTTGGCATGGGTTAGCCCTGAAAGACATTTTGGATTGACAGGTTACTACAAATCTATCACCTTTTGAATCACAGACTGAAACTCATTTGTGTGTATATATGCTTGCTTGCTTTAACGTGTAAATAACTCTCTCATTTCTTTTTTCCTCATTATTAAACCTTTAGTGAGTTTATTACAGGATTGTCTAAAAGCACGGTCTTTGGTGTGAGATGTAAGGTACAAATTGACCTAGGGTAAGAGACGGGTCTCTTGGGACTGGGAGCAACTGGAATATTGGGTGATCTTTGGTGTAAGTGACCATTTATCACTCAGTCCAGCCTGCCTGGGTGGTAATATAGACTGGAGTGCCCAAGGGGACTGTCTGTGATTCCATCGCAAGACTGGTACAGTGCTTCAGGAGTTCATATTTGTTACTGGGTTGGTGAAATCTAATTATAGGACATACCACCAGCTTGGGGTGTCTGCTGTGCTTTTGGTTAGCACTCTCGGTTGTGAGCTACTCCAGACAGCATGACACTGTTCTTTGAATTCCTCCAGTAGCTCTCCTTTCTCCACCAAATCAAATACAAGTTTCTAGTCCTTGCCTTTACGACCATTCACAAATCAGCTCCTCCCTGCTTATCTGCTCTAGTACCGTTTTTTTTTTAAACCAGACTTCATCTTTTTTATCCACTTCTGTAAAATTGGGGCACCCTGTAGTTATGTACAGTAGCCTGTTGTGTACAAAATCCTTTTAATCACTCTTTCTCTTTGCTCATATAAATAAAGGTCATCACTGTTTAAGCCATCAGGCGTTCTTTAGTTTTAGAGAGATGTTTTTGTCCCCTGTTTTCCAGGCTTTTAAAATCCTCTGTGGTATTTTTAAAAGATATGTAGTTAGACATTGTTATCAGTCCAAGTAAGTCATCTACTGCTCTGTTTCTTGTTTCAATTTTTTAAATATTTGCTGTATCAGCAATTCCACCTAGCACTTTAATTATTCCAGATGACTCAAAACATGCTGGACTTAGCTCATTAGGTTTTGATGGCGCTGAATAAAAATTCTCCAACCAAATCAAATAGTAATCACCATGGAAACAAATCAGCCAATTGCATTTGTGTGTTGGACTAATCACTGATATTTGGTACCACAGAGCTCATAACAGCAACGAAAAGGGTAAGATTAGACGTTTAGATGATTAGATGTTGCAGAAAAATGTAAAATTACCAAAATTCGATTCCATATTAACGTGACTAGATGGTTTTCCTACTCTAGGTCTAAGAGGAAGGTCCTGTATCTCAGATACTGTGATGTGTTAACTCTTAGCAAATGCTGACTCCTTAATAGTGACTACTGTGCATTCAAGACATGCACAGAAATGGTCCTAGTAAGCAATACTCTAAATGTATTTTACATCCCTTCCATACAATCCAATGTGGGGTAGACACCCCTCTGAAAACTAACCTAACGGCTTTAAAATCTTACTATAAAATGGCTGGAAATTGATGGTTGAGCATGATATCAAGGTACCATCACTAGCGGGTTCTCAATCTGGGGATCACAAACAGGTGTTGTGGGGTCATGACCTTCCAGCACTTCATATTTCACTTAAATGGCTATAGATCCCTTCTAGATAGAAGAGTGATCTGAGAATGGCAAAGGGGGTTGCAATAGGGGAAGGGATGAAAACTGCTGCTATAATTCTTGCTGAGAATGTTACCCTCGCTGGTGTTTAACATGCACAGAAAGCTCTCCTATATTCAGTGAGATCAGAGACCTTTAAATGCGGATCTGATTGGGGGAAGATGGGGATGAGGTAAGGGTATGGGGTAGGAGAAAACTGGTAACTCAAAATACATTTTTCTTAAATCTTCCCATAACACTTTCAAAGAACCTGCCAGGAAAGAGACCAGTATGTTGATTTAAACTCAAAGTGAAACGAATCTGCTTGTTACAGTCTCTGTAGAGCCTTAAAATCAATAGGCTTTTATTGGTTAAGTAAAAAAAAAAAAGCAAACATGATTCATAAATGTGTTATCTTCTGATCTGTATATTTCTGGAATGATTATTTTTCAGGTGATAATTATTTATTTTAATTAAAGTTGTTACATATTTCCTTTGAATTGGGAGTAATCATGCAAGATGATTGCAACCTTTTCCATACAGAAACCGTCATGTTACAACAAAAAAGTTTTGCCTCCCCAACATAGCCAGGAAGAAAGCTTTGGTTGTGACTCTTCCCTGGATTGCAAACTCATTACTTATGGTATGTAGCAAGTTCCAGACAGGATTTGAGTGCTTTTCAAAAGCAGATGGGTGGTATTATCTCCATTTCACAGATGGGAAAGCTGAGGCACAGACAGGTTTAAGTGACCTTTGGTGGTTCAGAGGCTGGGTTAGATATGGAGAAGCATCCACCTATTCAGATGTTCATTCAAACTACCCAATTCTCTTAAGTCTGCAAAACAGGGCGGGAAAATGAGGCCAGCCTTTCTCTTAGGATTTCCAGCATGTCCAGTCCTGCTTGGAAATTCCATTGGAACAGCCATTGTCTCTGTATTTTGTTACTTTCCGTTTCAATGCTGAATGGGATCCACAAGTGAAAAAATATCCCTGAATCTTCCTCCATCTTAAAAAAGATTTGGCATGAGTGCTGTTCTAAACATAGGTGGCATTTTACTGGGGAAATGTTTTTATGTCTGAACCAGCTTGCACATCACTACTCTGGGTTTAGAATTATGATTTAATAATGCATGGCCTATTTAAGTAGGTGGCACATAGCCTTTAGTTCCCTGCCTACGGAGTCAGCTATTACATGATAATTAACTACTTGTTAATGCTCAAATTTAGTATCTCTGCTATTTTATTATTCACGTTTTTAAATATCCTAACTAGGACTAATCCATACTATGGGCCAATGGTGTCTGGTTTTCAGTGTCGCTACGGGTAACTACAGACATGTCCAAAGAGATGTCTGAATACTCACTGTATTGTAGGAGCTGTGAATTGTGTTGCAGAGAGGTTGAGTTAGACAAACAAGCACAATTTTAATCCTGAACCCATTAAACACTGTATTGCTGGTGATAGGCTAAAACAGTGAAAACATAGTAGTTTAATTAATTATCTTCTAAAACAGAATAGTGAATAGAGGGTATCCAGATAACAGATCTAGAAAAATGGTCTTATCTCTTTAAGTGTGTTTTGCTGCTCTTTTACCTTTTTAAATGTAATTGTGAATGTTCATATACTCTATGTAAAGTGTAATTTTATTTATCTATTCTTTAACTCTTTTGTTTACCCTGCTAGGCTTTTGGCCTCAGTTATATCTTGTGTTAATGAGTTCCATTTGCTAATTATTGTGTAAAAGAAATTTTCTGAATGTAGAAGATTTTGCTGTATGTTATAGTTCATTTTTTTCTGCATCACTGTTATATGATGACATCAGCACTGTCCCTTGGTTTGTGATGTATTTGTTGACTCTCATACCTTAATGCGGTATAGTCCGGCCTTGAACTTTACAAGGAATTCCTATTAACTCCTTAGTTGCTCATATAAATCCGTGTTCTTTAGAGTGGCACATTTACGGCCCTGTGCTATACATCTGTTATTTTTTTTAGTATTCCCATGCAGCACAGCATGTAAATGTATGGGCCCTGAATGTGCACTTGTGGTGGAGCTCAGGTTATTAATAGAACATTCATGCAGCTTTCAGGAACTACTGTACTGTGTCCGAAGGGATTCCTCTTACTTATCTCATGCAGAGGTTACTGGGAAATGAGTTTGTAGAATACAATATAGTTTTGTGTTTAATAATACCTGGCTTTACTAACATTTTAATTATTGAACAAAAAATATGAAAGAAGAAGAACATTTTAACACTCAGGGTAATAGCATTACTTAGCGTAAGTAGATTAGGGTAGCTCAAAGGAGAAGGGTGATCTGGCCAACATCTAGAATAGTCTCTTCCTGAATTTTGAAGATATTACATTATCTCAGGGCTGTGACCTTTATTGCATTTTTTGGTTTTGTGTTTTCCATTTGACTTTAGAATTATACTCGATACCATTAGTTCACTGTGACATTCAAAAGAGCCAGTTGCAGCAGAAACATAATTACATTACAACCGTGGATTTCTGTTTGATCACACAAATTCAAAAGAGCATTCTGGCACACAAAAACCACTTCATGGATGGAACATGTACCACTGCTCAGAGTAAAAGAGTTTTTTCCTCTTGCACTGACCATTTATAGAACAAGATTTCTGTGGAGTGTTTTGAGGTACTATAATGATAATACGTTTATATTGATTTGGGATAGAAAGAGTATGAGTTAAAAAGTAAATAATAATAATAGAAAATAATGAAAATATAAAACTAAAAGGTAAGGCATATCAAAGAAGATAAGAAAGGTGTCACAAATAACAGCAATGCAAGTTGCCAGGGGTTCGTATAAAAAGAAACACAAGGAAAAGCCATGAGAGTTAAAGTGAAAATAGGAATAAATATATGATTGTATTGCTCCCTTCCTTTGCCACTTTGTCCATATGGACCTTGATTCTGCATGCCACTCTGTGTGGATAGGATTAAAGTATATAATTATATATACTTTATATAATATATATATATTATAGTTCAATGCATGGCACTGGGGTTTGACTTCTCAGAACAGCTTACAGGATGGGGACACTAAATTGTAAGCTTTCTGGGAGAGTTTTATTTTGTGTCTTTAAAGTGCCAGCACACTTTTGTGGGGCTGGTAAAAATAATAAATTGTAATCTTATTAATTAATTCTTAAACCTCTTGCTTGCTTTTTAATTATTAAGGATCAGGAAGGAACAGGTAGATTCTCTGATAATTAGAAGATGGCCGATTATACTCCCAGTTTTGTTTTTTTACATTGGTTTGTAACAAATATTCTCATTGAAACTTTTGTTCCCTCTCCCCAGGTGGTCATTGTTTCTCCTGGGGATGGAATGAACATGGGATGTGTGGTGATGGCACAGAAGCAAATGTTTATGCCCCGACGCCAATCGCAGCTCTTGGTTCTGCAAAACCATTCTTAATTGGATGTGGGGCAGGACACTCTATGGTTCTTTGTCAGATTCCAGGTTAGACCTTACACACTGGAAGCCATCGCCATGTGAATTTGGACATCTTTGCATAGAGCTCTTCAGAAGCGTTGTGAGAGAATTATTTAATACTAGCATAACAGCCTGATGTACAGAAGAAAATAAGGGTAAAAAACTCCTTTGTTCTGAACCCAGAATTTCAAAAAAATGAACTGATGTGCTGAGAAAACTGTTTAATAAAAACAACGTTTATAAATATATTACTGGAAATTATTTCACAGGTTCTTTTCACAGGAGATGACGTTGTCCATGGGTAAAATGAATAAACGTTTTGCTTTGCTGCTATATAAATGAAGCAAGAAGGATTTTCTCCCCCAACATTTACAGTAACAAAACACAAAGTTCTTTTGGATGATTTTAGCAGTTGATAACAGATTTGTGGCTTTTGCAGAGAAAGTGTTACTCACTGATGTAAGGGTGAGCTTAGGTGGTGTCTGAAGAAGTAGTGTGAGTCTGTGAGCACACATAGGGATTGTTTGGTTGTTTTTTAAATGGTGATTAGCATTTGCAGCTCCCATTGACTTTTATTGGAGTTGCGGGTGCCTACTACTCTGGAAATCAAGCCATATTGCATAAACACCTGAATTTTTGATTATGTTATTCAAGAAAGCCTTGGCTCCAAGTATGAAGTAGATCTAACTTAGAAGGCTGTTGGAGAAAGAGAGGGTGCTTTGATCCTAAAATTGACTACATATATATCTTTATTACACTATTATAATAGTGTGGTTATAGTTGAATTTCCTTCTGCAGTAGAAACCCCAGTTATTTTGGATTTATAATAGTGATGAGCCAACCAGTTCATATAAAACAAGAACTAGATGAACCTTCTTCTGAAACTCAAACCAAGCCTGCATTTTTTGAGGTGGGCAAAGTCTGGCAATGTTCTTTCCTTTTTAAATGTTCAAACTCCTCCATCCTTCCTCTGGGTCAGTAAATGTGAGTTCCAGGCTACCACCTGGGAAGCTATACTCTCAGTAGCTTCCATTAGGTTTTGGAAGGGATCCTGTTTCAGGGCAAAAGCCGACCTCTACTTAATAGGGTTAAGAAGAAACTCTCTGGGAGCAGGTTATCCAGATATAAATGCTTGCCACGGGTTTTGCTGCATCTTTCTTTTAAGCACTGAGTTCTGGCCACTGTCAGAGACAGGATTCTGGACTTGATGGTCCACTGGTCCAATCCAGCGTGGCACTGGTAACTCCTATGTTTCCAATGCTCCTAAAAACAGGGAGTTCTCAAAATTTCACAAGAGTGTTCTCATGAGATTTCCAGCTTAATATGAACACCAAATAAATCTTGGTTAAATATAGATTAGCTGTGGTTACACTTCCCAGCCCAACAAAACCGCTGATCCCTTGAAAATTTAGAACTTGGCCAAACAACTTGTTCTAGGCTAGTGCTTGGTATGGAAAGTTTGGGCCTAGCAGTGTTTTTTGTGAGCTGAGGTGGAGGAGAGGGAATTCCATTTTTAAAAATCTCCAACTGTTTGTATTGAGCAGAATTTAAAAAGCTAATTTAGTGAACTCTTTTGCACACAAATACAGTGAGGAACATTAAATTGGATCTTTACCACCCACAGTAGTTAAATTTACTGTGGTATTTTAGGTATTTCACATTCTAAGTATCGGGAATACCACTGTGTGGTAAATATTCATTGTTAATGATGCCCACTGTTTCATTTTTAAAAGCAAGTTTACCAGGGAATGAGCCTGTCAAACTAATTGCCTTATTGAACTAGAAAAAATATTTTAAATGGGTTATTAGGAAATTGCACAGGAAAACATTCTAATGATATCATATCAGTTCAGTCCAGTCATGAAAGAGAGAATTAGGCAATACATATGGGCTGTAGGGATGGACTGTCCTTATAATGGGAAACCTTTTATCCAAGTACATACACAAAAGAAGCTCCAAAAAGAGGATATGTATTTACAATTTGGTCACCATGTTTAGCATACTTTCAAGAGGCAGGCTCCCCAGCCAGCAAGCTGGAATCTTGAGCCAGGTTCTTTGAATATTAATGTGATCCTGAATCATGAATTTATGTTGTCTTATGTTAACATTTTATTGTAGCTTTGCCTTAATGAAAAGTTTCTTTAAAAAAAATGGTAGCCAGGGCTCAGGAACTAGTTTACAGGTATTTTTCTTTGCATTTTCAATGGGAAATAAACCTGAATGCGTGACTGAATAAAAGTATGAAGATGATATTCAATAGGCTAAAGCTATTTTAAAAAGTGGAGGGACAATAAAGTGGCCCAGTGCAGCCTAAAAAAAGGGGCAGAAAAGATCCTTCTGTTTATGAAAAATTCACCATCCATGTACTTGGATGTATTTGCCCATAATAAGGTACCATGTTGGATGTATTTACCTATGGGAATGTACCTTTTCAACTATGAGCTTCTGCGCTACTTCTTACTGCCTAGACTGTTCTTCATTGGGTCTGCTCCTTACTACTTTCCAGCCCCTTGTCTCTCCATTATGCACACTGGGTGATTTATCATGCCTTTTTGCAGATCCCCTCCTGAAGTGTCCATCCATTCCTATCAGGTGCCACAGACCTCCCAGCTATGTTAGTTTGCCTCAGCAATCCCACCCTTCAGGGTAAGTTTGTAAGGGAGAGACCTTACTTGATCTTCTAACTTATGTATATCCCTTAAAACTGACTGGTCTCTAAGAAGGTCCCATATTGTCCACTCACGTGGGTTATTATTTATGTGTTAGCACTGCGATTCAGTTAAGAATTACCCATACAAATTCACAAAAGTACATGTTATTTATTAAGTTATATAGCATTTGCTCCTTCAACCACATCAAATGGAAACACCTCAAAAGGATTGAAAAAACTCCTTTTAAACAAGTCTCCTCAGAGGTTAATTTAGACTTTATTCTATAAACTAGGTTCGATGGGGGCAAGTGACAAAAGTCCATGGATAAATTAAAAAACAACAACACATGGAAACCTTGGAGAAGGGTCAGAATCGGGGGGGGGAGGGGGAAGGGGAGAACATGGGCCGTTATAGCAGGGATAAGGGAGAGAGAAGAGAGAATGCGGGGGGGGAAAACAAATCAGTATCTGAGATGTCTGTTTTCTAATTCAAGAATTATGGAGAATAAGCAGGAAGAACTTGAAGTGCTAGTTAATAAACACAGCTATGACATAGTTGGCATCACAGAGACTTGGTGGGATAATATGCATGACTGGAATATTGGTATAGAAGGGTACAGCTTGCTCAGGAAGGACAGGCAGGGGGAAAAGGGAGGTGGTGTTGCCTTATATATTAAAAATGTATACACTTGGACTGAGGTTGAGATAGAAATAGGAGACAAACTTGTTGAAAATCTCTGGGTAAGGATAAAAGGGGTAAAAAACAAAGGTGGTGTCATGGTAGGGGTCAACTACAGACCACCTAACCAGAAAGAAGTGGAGGAGGCTTTTTTAAAAAAAAGAAAACAACTAACAAAATCATCCAAAGCACAGGACTTGGTGGTGATGGGGGACTTCAACTACCCAGATATCTGTTGGGAAAATATTATAGCAGGGCACAGATTTTCCAACAAGTTCTTGAAATGTATTGGAGACAATTTTTTATTTCAGAAGGCGAAGAAAGCTACCAGGGGAGAGACTGTTTTAGATTTGATTTTGACAAATAGGGAGGGACTGGTTGTGAGTTTGAAAGTGGAAGGCAGCTTGGGTGAAAGTGATCATGAAATGGTAGAATGGAAAACAGCACAATAAACGTAATAGTTTTCAAGAAGGCAGACTTTAGCAAACTCCAGGGGTTGGTAGGTAAATTCCCATAGGAAGCAGTCTAAAGGGAAAAAACAGTTCAAGACAGTTGGCTATTTTTCAAAGAGACATTATTAAGACCACCACTGGGATGTATTAGCAGGAGTGTTGTAAGCAAGACATGAGAAGTAATTCTTCCGCTCTACTCCACGCTGATTAGGCCTCAACTGGAGTATTGTGTCCAGTTCTGGGCACCACATTCCAGGAAACATGTGGACAAATTGGAGAAGGTCCAGAAAAGAGCAACAAAAATGATTAAAGGTCTAGAAAACATGACCTATGAGGGAAGATTGAAAAAATTGGGTTTGTTTAGTCTGGAGAAGAGAAGACTGAGAGGGAACATAACAGTTTTCAAGTACATAAAAGGTTGTTACAAGGAGGAGGGAGAAAAATTGTTCTCCTTAACCTCTGAGGATAGGACAAGAAGCAATGGGCTTAAATTGCAGCAAGGGCGATTTAGGTTGGACATTAGGAAAAACTTCCTAACTATCAGAGTGGTTAAGCACTAGAATAAATTGCCTAGGTAGGTTGTGGAATCTCCATCATTGGAGATTTTTAAGAGCAGGTTAGACAAACACCTATCAGGGATGATCTAGATAATACTTAGTCCTGCCTTGAGTGCAGGGGACTGGACTAGATGATCTCTCAAGGTCCCTTCCAGTCCTATAATTCTCTATGATTCCTTAGGGAAGGAGGTCTTGTGGTTAAGGCATTGGCCTTGGGACCCAAGGAGATCTGTGTTCAGTTTCTGGTTTTGCCACAGGCTTCCTGTGTGCCTCAGTTCCCCATCATTAAAACTGGGCTAACAACACTTCCTTTCTTCCACTCTTAGACTGTAAGCTCTTCAGGGCAGGGGTTTTATGTTTTTACAACACCTAGAACAAGGGAAGGGGGGGTATTATTCTAGTGCAAATAATGTATAATAATTCTCTGTACACAGTGCAATATTCAGTGTTAATAGCAAGTTGGTGTTTGTTCATTAGAAAATAAATCCCCTGTTTTTATGTGTCAGTATGTTTGGTTTTGCAGAATAAAACCTTATGATAAGTCAGCTGATACCTTCTGGGCACAGCGGTTTTCAGCTGAAGGTGTGGTCTGAAAGAAAGGGAGAACACAATGAAAGAATCCAACCCATGGCAAAAATCACCTTCCTTGCTGCTTGCCAGAGAGCAACCATAGGGTTACCATATTTAAAAAATAAAAAAAGAGGACACTCCACGGGGGCCTGGCCCCGCCCCTTTCCCACCCCCAGCCCCACCCAACTCCGCCCATTCCCCGCCCCTTCCCCAAAGTCCCCGCCCTAACTCCCCCGCCTCCCTCCCAGCCACGCAAAAAGGGCTGCCCAAGCACTACTGGCTTCACGGTTTGCCGGGCAGCCCCCAGACCCTGCGCCCCTGGCCGGCGCTTCCCCATT